CCCACCGGTTCCTGCCACACTAGGTACCTCCAGGCCCTGTTCTCCCTACCGACGAGCGGTGGTGAAGCACATGAAGAGAGGGAGATACCTCCACAGACCCTCCCCTCCCGGAGGCCGCTGAGTCTTTTACCTGTGTTGCCGTAATAACAGGGAGCCACACGGTCCATGTCGTCGTAGCAGCAGCCCGCCTGCAGGCAGCCCTCGCGGCCCTGCGGGGCCACGCAGGGGATCCTCCCTGTGGCCACCTGGCACTGCTCCCGCGTCAGCTGGGCACCTGGGGCAGCAGAGGGGAGAAGGCGGGCGCTGCGCTGAGCATCCCCACGGCCTCCCGGAGCGCTCCCTCAGGACCGCGGCCGCTGGCGCTGCTCCAGGGGCAGAGAAGACCCTGCCCCATGCCGCTTCCCTCCGCCCTTCCCCGTTGGCAGGGCTGTGAATACCTGCCCCTGCGGAGGGGTAGAAGAGAGCCGTGGACTGAAGTAGGCCAGGCTGGGAGTGAAGCCCAGGGCGCAGCAAACCAGGCTGGGCTTGAAATCCTGGGCTTGCTAGACCTGGCTGGGTTTGAGGCTGAAGTACAGGATGTGATAGACCTAGTTGGGACTGGGGGTGAAGCCCAGGGCTCACGAGACTCGGTCGGTGTTGGCTAGGACGTCCAGCTTGGGTCTGGACACCTGGTTGCATGTGACTTGGGTGGGACTGAAAGCCAGCGTGAGCTAGTCCGGTTTGGGTCTGGACACCAGAGTGTAGTAAACCAGTCTGGGAGTGGGTCTGAAGGCCGGGGTGAACCAAGCCCGGTTGGTTTGGGGGCTGAATGCCAGAGTGCACTAAACCTGTCAGAGTGTGAACACCAGGGTGTATTAGGCCAGGCTGGGAGTGTGGCTGTGTTCCAGGGTGAAGGAAGCCAGATTGGGACTGGGGCCGTGTTCCAGAGTGAACAAGGCCTTGTTGGGACTGGGGCCGTGTTCCAGATTGAACAAGGCCTTGTTGGGACTGGGGCCATATGCCAGGGCGAACAACACCAGGTTGGGCATGGGGCTGTGTTCCAGGACGAATGAAGCCAGATTGGGACTGGGGCCGTGTTCCAGGGCGAATGAAGCCAGACTGGGCCTGGGACTGTGCTCCAGGGCGAAGGAGGCCAGTCTGGGTCTGAACCCCAGGGTATAGCAGGCCAGGCTGGGCTGCAGGCTGGATGCCAGGACGCAAACCTGGCTGGGGCCGAGCAAGGGGCCGAGCCTGGCCTGGCTGGGATTGGGACTGAACCCCAGGACGAGCTGGTTCTTGCTGGGGCTGAACGCCCGAGTGCACTAGGCCAGGTTGGGATTGAGGTTGAGCTCCTGGGCGTACTATTCCTGACTGGGTCTGAACCCCTGGGCGAATCTGGCCAGGTTGGGTCTGAACACCTGCCCGAACCAGGCTGGATTGGGTCTGAACTCCTGGGCGAACCTGGCTGGATTGGGATTGGTGCTGAACCCCAGGATGCACCAGACCCGGCTGGGGCTGAGCCAAGGAGTGGGCCTGGCCCGAATGGGTTTGTCGCGGCCGCTGGTGCCCAGGAAGAGCTAAGGCGGACTGGGACACATGGTGCAGGACGCCAGGCTGGGGCTGGGGAGCGAGGACACCATCCTGGCTCTGTTGGATGTCATTCCCTTCCTGCTCGATACGCATGTTCCCGTCCATGAGGACATAGTAGTCAGCCGGCTGTGGGCAGGTCATGTTGACCTCGTAAGAGGCTGCAATGACCCCGCTGATCAGCACTTCTTCCATCCGCACCCTCAGGATATAGCGGCCTTCCTGCAACAAGGCAGAAAGGATAGTCACCTCTAGTGCCTGCCAGCCACTGGGCATGAGACATTTGGGAAGGGACCCTCACCTTTACCAGGACGTGGCAGCCCTCATAGCCAGAGGAGAAGCTCACCCCTCCATCCACCCCGGTGTTGAGCCAGTGGAGGCAGATGGAGCAGTTGGCCACTTCGAAGAGGCTGCCGAACTCATCTGCAGAGACAGTGCACGTGCACCGGGTGAAGCCCGGGCGCAGGCCGGGTGGGCACCCTGATTTGGGGCACAGCAGCAGCTACTGCCATCATCCCCCCGGGGCACCAGGGAGGATTGCCCCCATCACTGCCTCTTGCCTGCCCCATGTGGGCGTGCGTAGCAGACCCAAACTCGCTCCCTGTAGCCTGACCAAGTTTTCTCCCAGTGTGGTAACTGCAAAGAAATCCACCCCTCCGGATTGCCCCCATCACTGCCTCTTGCCTACCCCTTGTGGGGGGTGCATAGCGGACCCAAACTCGCTCCCTGTAGCCTGGCATTAGGTCAAGTTTTCTCCCAGGGTGGGTAACTGCAAAGAAGTCCACCCCTCTGTACAACCTCTTTCAGCAGCACAATCCAGGAGAGGTGCCACGCCAGAAACGCATTCAAGCCTTTGGCCCACCCGAGTGGCCTGATGCTCCAGGGACAAAGACCCCAGCGTGGGACATGGAGGCACTCAGGTTTTAGGGGAACAGCCAGGCGATCGTCACAGAGTGCCTTGCAGAGCCAGGCAGGCTCCTGCTCGCGTTCCCCAGCACTCACCCAGGACCTTGAAGCGGACGGTGCGGCCTCGCGTGGGATATGCCAGGAGCTGCATGCCGTAGTCCCCGCAGTCATAGCGGTACTGCAGGAGCGAGAAGGTGATGCCCGGCGCCGAGGCCAAGAGGAGCAGCAGGGCCACGAGGCAGCAGCACCAGCGCCAGCCCATGGCAGCAGCGATGGGCTCTGCCAGCGGGACAGCAATTTATACCTGCCACGCTGGGCCCGGGGGGAGGTGACCAAACAAGCTGAGGGGGCCGTGCTTGGGATGGTGCCGCCTGCCCTACAGAGCACAGCAAAATGCTCCCCGTGCCAGAGATCAGGGCTCTGGCGCCGCGAGTGACCTGGCTCCGCAAGCGACCTGGCTCTGTGCATGACCTCGCTGCCCCGGCACTGCTCTACGGCTTCACCAGACAACAGAGCTTTAGACTCCTGGATAGCTCAGGTCCAGCCCGGTGGGTTGACCAGTGCGTACTGGGTCCGCTTGTATTTGTCCTAGCGGACTTGGGCCCTGGAAAACTCATCGCTCCTAATGCTGAAGTCACTGCAGAGCTTTCAGCCTAAGGGGGCTGCTAGGGCTACTTCAGGTGTCCATGTCAGAGCCGGCTGCCTGTGCAAATGGTAACAACATCTCTAAGTGCTCTTTGCTCCGAGAAGATACAGAAGTGAGGTTTGGAGTTCACAAAGAAAAGAAAATTGAAGGTCAAGTGATGGATAAGCCAAAAAAAGAGGAAAAAAAAGTAGAGTCAGAGACGAAGGATCTGCTGTCCTGCTACACAGTGTGAGGCAGAGCTCCACAGACCAATTCTTGGCCAACTCGCACTACAACGAAGAGGAGGGACCTTGGTCACCTTTAACTGCTGCTGACTGCAGTATTTTGTGGGTTCTTGCTGCCTTATTCTTTTTTCTTTTTTTTTTTCCCTAGGCCTCTGTCCAAGTATCCTTCTGGATCTCACCTTGCCTAAAGATCAAACTGACTCAGCGCCTCCCATTCCCACCCCACTCCCACAAAAAAATAAAATAAAATAAAATAAAATAAAATAAAATAAAATAAAATAAAATAAAATAAAATAAATCTGTGGGGGGTGGAAACTTGAAATCTAATCTTGGAGGAGCTGCTGTCCTTCAGCCTAAGGAGCCAAGAGACCTGGTACAACCATCCCCCAATCCCTATTTCCTCACCAGCAGGAAGAGCTGAGAGCAGCTGAGGCCAAGAGGGTGTTAGAAGTTGACCACAAAGGGGTAGGAGCTTCCATGGTCTGATGGAAGGAAGGTTGGCTGGTTGCTGGCTGGCCCAAGCGTAAGCGGACAGCAGTGATTCAGGTTTGCCTTGCTGGTTAATAACTTTCTTACCAAGGTCTTGAGCAGAGCAGCAATATCTCTGCTGCACACACTGAAGAAACGCTGCTCTGAGCAGCATGCAACGTTTTAGTACCCTTGCAAGATATACAAAGATGCCGCTGCATCTTTCCCTTCTCCCACCAGCTCCACAGCATCTGCTAGGCTTTGTAAGATGTGGCTTTGGTTAAGAGCCCGTGTCACGTAGATTGGAGCGCGGGGGAAACCCTCTCAGCCAACCAGCCTCCCAAACTCACCTCCAGAAGCCATGGGGCGCAGGGACTGACAGGGCTCCAGTAGGGGCAGGTGGCAAGGGGGCACATTGCAGAAGATGAATGCCTGAAACCCGCGTGCGAGGGCAACACCGGTGACAGGGCTGTACTGTTTGAGCCATTGGCCCACTGGCTTTGACCATTTCTCCTGTAGAAAGAGAAGACATGGGAGCTCTATTCTCCCTGCCTTCCTCCCCCACCTAGAATGGGCCATTGGGATGAAGGGGCTAGGGACAAAATCCGGTTCTGACTGTGCAACCATCCTGAAGGTGGCCAGGCTACTCCCTTGTGGATCCCTCTGGGCTAAATGGCCAGCCTGTCCCTACCAAACGCATTTTGGCCTCTCTACTGGTGGGATTCCACTGCCAACCTACTGCAAGGGGGGTTGTTAGTAGCTCAGTCATTCAAGGGGAAAACACCAACATGTGAAAGGATAAAATACCGCAGTCAATAAATAAATAAGCGGCACATTAGCAAAAGCGGATATCTCAGCAGCTCCAGGGAGGGAGGGAGGGAGGCCAATGCTGTCAGGTGCCTCATCAGGCTGGCAAGCAGCCTGGTGCTTGCCCTGGTAGCTCATTAACTACTGTTATCTCTGTGCCCTCACCATGATCGTTTTGTACTCGCTGCAGAAATGCTGCCCATGCCAGCAGAAAGCAGCGGTAACACCCCCCAGGCCGGCTTGTGCAGCAGAGGCAAAGGGAGCCCAGGATCCTACCAGCTTCCCGGAGGGATGGCGGAAACACAACTGCCCAATCTGGGGTTGCCTCTGGTTCTCCTGGGGACGTTTATTGCCAAGACAGCGTGGGAAAATGGCTTCCGCACATGGAAGGCCGCTCGCCAAGGTGAATGTTTTATCCTGGAGCACAGAGAGGGTTGTCGCAAAGCCCCAGCTCCTGGAGTCAGGCAGTCGTTTGGGATCATTGGCTCTTTTAGCAGGCAAAAAGGATAACTTCCTGACCTCTCTGATAACAGGGAGCACATGGAAAGCGGGAATTCGGAGTCACTAAACCCTACCAAGCAGCAGAGAGACTGTGTGATTCAAGGGAAAGGAAAATAACATTCCTCTCCCCCTGCCTCCCCAACAAGTGGCCATCACTGTGGCAGCTATTCTTTTTCTGACAGGCCGAAAATGAGTTTGTAACCAGAGGGTATAGGGCTGGATATTGCTCCTGCTAAAGTTGCTGGGACGTTCTGAGCTTTTTCAGAGGAAAGAAAAATCACCTGGAAAAAAAAAAAAACTCAAATCCAGATGTGGGAGCTGCAAACCCAGGGAAGGAAGGAAGGAAAGAAAGAAGAGCCAACCAAGGAGAGCCAGTGGCCCAGAGTATGCCAGACACCCACTGCCAAAATCATGACTTCAGGACACATGTGGGGCTGGGGATGACGGCACCAGGGCAGAGAAAACTGTGCAGCCTCCATCCACAGGGCAAAGGTTTCTCCACAGAGGGAGGTTTTTCTTTTAGGGTAGTAAAAAAACGGTGCCAATTTGATGCAACTATCTAGGCTGCTCAAACACCCATGGGTGGTTGAGCCGTCACTCCAACTCTTGCCCTGGGCATTTGCAAATTCAAGGGTTTAGCATTAGCCCAACTAAAATCTTAACACACCAAAGAATTGTTAGCAGCCAAGTGCCCATGATCCTAGGATTATACGCTCAGTCTATATTCACACATACAGTGTTCTCAGCTCAGCGACACGTGGCTGCAGTTGTGGGGCCACTTGTGCCCAGGTGCATCCTGGAGTGTGTTTAAGTGCCAGCAGGAAAGGGGACTTTCCTTTTTTTTTTTTTTTTTTTTTTTTTCTTTTTTCTTTTCCTTTTTCT